ATAATAGTTATCATAATTTTCAGTGCCAGACCGTGGAATTGGCACTATACGTTCTGTCGCTGTGAATTATGATAATTATTGTAACAGAGGATTTCGGGCAAGTTGAGTCAAACTAAGTCATCCTAAAAACAAGACCAAGTTGTGAAAACAAGGCCAACTCACTGCTATGGTGACTAAGTTATTCCATTTAGAGGTAAAGTTTCTGTTGAAGATATTCGAAGGGCAATCTCCCCAGAAAACGACGACTGAGTCCCCCTGGTCAGCTGCCAGTTTGTTCCATGTGAACATTGTAGATGATGCTGCTTCCGAGATAGTCTTCTTCTTGACTCGCCTTGAATTTGGCTGTCGGAATGATAAGAGCAGATATGAAGATTAAGATTGTGTGGTCTCTCTTTTTGCCGCAGTACCCTTTCACTACAGTGAAGTGATCTGACCTTGTCTTCAAAACTTGCTCGTATTGTCAGGACGACCTAGATAAACGCAACTTTCCCAACGTCATATTCCATGGTAGTAATGATAATGTCCAAAGTCAAATTGTCTCTGAAGAATTATAGCTTTGTGCAAGGCATGACAAGACTCATTGACGATGCCGACTGATCTTCTGCCAAGTCCACGGCCCGACGCTGCAAACCATCATGACTACCAGGATAGAGGACTTGGTACCAAATGTGTTTATATAGGTCGCCCTGACAATACAACCAAGTTGCGAATACGAGGTAAAACGACTTCTGTAGGAATGCCAAGCTTATATTGTGGTGCCCGGTAGGAACCGGACACAAGCTTAGCACATTTTCACAGGAATTAAATGAGATTGCCTTGGTGACACCGTTAACTGACTTTGTTCTTATTCATAAATATTCTTTATTGCAATATCCTCATTAACGGATCGAGGGAAGAGCAAAAATTTAATCATGCCTGTTATAACGTTAGTTGGAATGTCGACATTAGAATGAGAAGAGAAGGATCTCTTAGTCTAAGTAAGCCTCCATTGGGGTCAGGAGGTACAATTTTGTCATGCAAATGAGGCCAAAACAGAAATTCACTACGACGTGTGCACGATGCCTGCCGCAAGGGGTGTCCGAATTTTGCGCTCTTTGTTTGTATACCGCTTTAGAACAGATAGTCTGGGACAAGACCTTTCTGAACGGGCCTGAAACTATCGTTAAGGCCAACTAGCCAAGATAAACCCTTGTGTCGTCACGGGGCGATATGAAAGTTCACCAGCTGATAGTCACTTCTTGATTGTGCTACCGTTTGCTTCGTCAGCACCGGGTCGTCGGTCTGTCGTGAGGGCATTCGATTTCACAACGGATAGGTTTCATATCGTGAAGGTCAAAGTGTATTGTTCCCTTTGGGCTCCTCATTATGGCCCAACTGGTGCTCTTGAAAATAGGGAACGGGACCACAGCCTTGGCAACAGTAGCATTGGTCCTTTTAAGAAGGACAGGTCGGTGTCTATGCCGGGCGTATTGGCTGGATAAGGCATAGTTG